ATGTGATAAAAAAAATCGGCCAGTGACCAGTGCGAGTCCAGGCGACACCCTTCGGCACCAGGGCGGCGCCTGCTGCAAGCACCGTAGGAGCTCCAGTCTGACCAGGCGCAAACCTCCCGGTGCGTTCCCAGTCAAACCCAAAGGATCCAAACTCAAGGAAGTCCCACCCTTTCGCTGTGAGGATCATCTGGATACACCCACGAGCTGTAATGTAGACTATGTAACTGTAAAGCATAAAACCTATTAAAACCTCTTGACATGGGATGTTTTTTATCAATCAAGAGTCTACATCACCACTAGCTCTAGTCTGGCGTGGCTCTGTTGGGTGGACACTGGAGGCGTCGCCCGATGCCACACCGGTCTCACCCGGCCTCGCTCATGGTCCAGCAGCTCTTCAAATTGCATGCAGCCACCTCCATGGTGCTTCCCGCCTGCGGAAAAGTACACTCCAGCCACTCAGTGTGCAGGTCTCAGGTCTGGAGAGGAGGGTGATTGACACCCAGTATCTACTCACTCGAATGCTCCTTCGGTTCCTCCATTCAGTGATGGTAACATTGGCCACAACCAATGCAATCCAACGCCCAAATAGGGGCGACGATGCATGGACCCTCCGACTCTAAGACTGGCCTTCACGCCTGCTGGGAAAAGCATGCATCACAAGCTAAAACGAGTCAGGCTTGCTTGAAACAGGTCAAACAATACTTCAAACAATATGTTATGGAAAACAAGGACCCTTTTTGTCCTTCCTATGCGTGAACCTTGCTTCTCTGAAAGGCTAACCGACCTTGGAACATCTCCCATGTGATGCTCCAGATTCTTTAGGTTCCACATGGCTCCACCATTTGAAAACGCAGTCCATCTGCATTCTGAATTTGGATGTTTGGACTGGTATTCTCTGACGAGAGAAGTCTCATCCCATCCTACTTGGTGACCTTTTGGCCATAGACTCGCACATCTGGCGCCTGGCAGGCCATGCCATGTCCACGTGCATCCACCAAGGCTCGCCGCCCTGGCTCAACTAAGGAGCAAATCATGAATCAGCTAGGGGGGTTGTCAGGATGTCAATGAAACATAGTTGAGAAGGTAGTCCAGGTAGTAGGCCAGGTGGACCATACCACCCGACAGAAGAGTGTCAATGAAATGAAACATTTAGATGAACATCTTGGGTCCTGCGCCTCGGTGTTAACGCAGTGCCAGGCTCAAAACCGAACTCCAACACGAACACCAGCCACCAGCCGCTGAAAACGCAAAAAAACTGGGCAAGTTGAAGCTCTCCAAGCGACCAAAGTTGTTATTCACCACGGCTGCCTTCTGTTCTCCCATTTGGCATGCAATGCATCGACGCCGTGGTGGACACTGACCACACTTGTCCAAGGAGAGTGACATCAGTCTATCAACTGGTGGCCTTCCACTTCACCACGCGCTTGTGAACATCAGGTGATCTGATATATACATTACCTTTAGATCTACATTCTACATAAGGGAAAGGTCCAAGCGACACATCAACAACACATGCCAGGCAGCGCGAGTTCGCTGTCCGCCATCACAACTCCTCAGCAACGTGGCAAATCCTCCACAGACTGCGTTGGTAGGAGTTGGCAGTTGGAGAATCGACCAATGTCCATTAAACATGACAACATCTATGACGAACTATAACAATTTGCTAGACATGCGGGTGGTTGGCCACGCTCAAAATCACGGTATTGTCGATAGATGTCGATAGTATGAGCATGCAAGCGTTTCTACAATGTGTGACTAAGTACTCCACCACCACCACCACCACCACCACCAGAACCAGGCTCACAAGTATCATCGCCCAACATGCCCAACATGAAACATGACCTGCGGATGCCTGCGGCTGCTTGGTGATGAAGTGCTGCCCAATTTTTGGCGCTTGCTTGGAACAAATTACAATTTACCCATCGTTTCCCCTGCGTGAGCTAGATCCTTTCGCAGCTCAACCGGCACTGGGCATCGTGAACACTGCGCCCAACTCGCGCCCGTCCAGGCTCCCCAACTGTGTGCAAGCCTCCCAGTCCTGCATGGTCCGGCGGTCCAGAGTGAGTCCAAAAGTGTTGGAACGGCGCACATTCGGAGCGAAACCGTTTTGGTGAGTGCCGCATGGCTGGGTTGGTTGCGTCGTGTATTTGTATGTTTAGTGGAGTGTAATGCGCTGGGGGATGCTGGTTGATCAAGGTCTTTACCCCAAAAGGATCAAGGTCTTTACGTAAACATGCACAGGCAATTGGTGGGCAAGGGGCAAGCCGGATTGCATGTCCCAAGCAAGGACTAGAGCAGCCATACAGCTAAGTTTGCAAGAGCTCACGGCCCTGAAAACCTGACAAGTGTTTCATCAGGTGCCCAAGTCTTAGGCTGAAGGTTGTTGCGAACTGAGGTGAGTTGACAGGGCGCACCAGTGTTGGACGCTTCTAAGGCGCACTCCTCCCAAGGCTTCCATAGGCAGTCGTACCTCCTCTCACCCAGGCACAGTTGGGTGTTGCCTCAGCAATGGCTTCCACAAGCGGCACGCTTCCCCATCTGGCGTTCCTCCTGGTGGATTCAAAGATGGCAAAGGGCCGCTCAAAACCACATCAAAATAGCATATTGTCATATTGATGAAAATTATTTGGGGACATCCTCATTGCTTGCCTTAGCATCCATGCCCTTGGTGATGATGTCCTCTGCTGGGCTGCCGGACACGCTTCTGTCTGTGCCAAGGCGCCCAAGCACGGGCGTCCCAAGTTCGCTGGGTAGACCTGGTCGAACGGGGGGGGATCTGGTCCAACGGGGGATCTGGCAAGCCCGGCAAGCGGTGAAGGTGGACGGTTGAGCTTATGCGGTAACTTCGATTTAAAGGACAGGAGCCATGCCTCTCAAACATTTAGACCCCAACAACCCCCTAACATTCCTATGTTTATCATATTTTGTCCCGTTCAATCGGCCATCCTTCAGGTCTGGCCAAATTGAGTGCTGACATGTCCCAACAAATCATGGAAGCTGAAAGTAAACATGCCCAGTTTGTAGTGGAACATGACTTTTCTCTTGTGGGGTTGGCCATGCTTGTTGGAGGGGACCAATTGCTAAGCCGACATGCTGCCACCGGACAAGCATGCGCTCATATGCGCTCGAGAACGAGGACAAGGTTTATTCTCAAAAAGCAGGAGGCCAGCAGAACCTGCCCTACACATGCTGCATAGCAGTGCTCGAAGGTTTTAAGCTGAGAGGGTCAAGAAACCATGAAACCAACCACAGCAGTGTTCTGCCTTCAACTTCCTCGGAGAAAAATACAAACTGGCCCCCTTGCTCGCCCCCTCACTTGTTTCACATGTGCACCTTGATGGCTCGCTCGCCTGAGCTCGTGGCAGCGTCCCAAGTTAACGGTTCAGCGACACTCCCTTTGGAAGAATCATGGGCCTGGCTGTGGAATGGCATGGCCTGACCCTGAAATTACCAAACAGGATCAAACAGGTGTTGAACTCCACTTCCAGGATGATTTCAGGGAGTGTAACTGTGATTCGTGATGGATGACCAACCGGCAGCAAAATGGCAGTCATCCGTCTGCAAAAGCATTGGAAAACCTACAAGTCGCGGAGCCACAGAATTGGACAAGCCACATGTACGAACCATGAGTGCCAATCCCCAACAGCAAACTCCCTTCGGCCCTCTTTCAAAAGCACCACATGATGCAGCATTACAGGTAATCAGGACCCCGCGTCGTCCTGTGTTCCAATCACTCTACTTTGAGTCCTTCATTCTGGAGGTGAATGAGCAAACTTGGGCGAACAGAACCACACAAATTGATGGGCACTTGCTGTCAGCGATGTCTAAGGACTTTGCCACGTGCACGTCTTTCCCCGTGAGAACATTACATTCTACTCGCCCAGTGACGGGTGGTTTGTCCACCGTCGCATTTGTGAGAGCATGGTGACCAAGTCCTGACATGCTCTGCACGACAAAGGCCTATATAGGGAATCACACTCTGATAGCATCTTGCCCACCGAACAAATTGATGGAAACGGGCTCCCCAAACCTCTTACCGGAGAGCAAAGCTTCAACGCGTGGATGCCATCAATGAGTGCGGCCAGAATTGCGTGTCATCTGCGGTGGTTCGATGTGTTTGCAATAAGCCTCACTAAAATATAGTCAACTTGTGCGGTGTGAGACTGGTTTTGCTCAAATGCATCTGAGATGTCAAAATCACAAAGTGATGGCATTCCGAAGGCGTTCTGTGAATAATGCCAGCTGATTGTGGGGCCCTATAACAGGTGCATCGAGTACTACAGGCCTACCACAGCCACTGCTACAGCCCTACGGTCCTTCTTCCACGGTTTCCGCTTGAAATAAGTCCATAAAATCCAAGGGGAAAAAAAGGGCAAGACCCAAAAACGGAGGCTCTATTGGGCCCACGGGCCTCCTTTCGAGGCCTCCTGGCCTCCTTTCCTTTGCCGCTCGCCGCTCCTCCACGGGCCCAGTACACAATCTTTCGGCGCTTCCGCGCGACACGTGGAGCTATCCAGGTTGCAGCCCCTGCGCGGGGGGGAAAGAGTGGGAAGTCCGGCAGGTCTGTGGTGCGGCGATTGGTATATAGATTTGTATCACAATAATTAACTAGCGATAATTAACGATCGTATATACTAATTAGCAATTAACTTCTTGGAGTCTATATATTATATACCTATTTAATTTGTCAACCAATGTAACCCCTCTCGAAAGCCTCCTGACTCACCTCTGACTGTTCAAAGCCTTTTCCGACGATCGGTGTCGTTGAACCAGAACATAATTTAGCTGTGTCCAGCATACTTCCCAGTTGTCCAGCACGTTTCCTAGTGCCGGCACATAAAGGAAAAGGAACACAAGGGTCTATCCAGAACATTTCAGAGCATCATATATTCACTACCGTTCTGGAACATGGAGATCATTAGTTAGGGGGAATTGTCAGGAACACTTCGATTGGAAGGGCGCCCTGTGTATGAACCACATTCCAATACTGCTCAAGGTTTCTCCTCTTTTCGCCTCGGCTTATGTACAAGTTCGGCCGGACGTTCACCTCGCTCCGGGCATCCAGCCGTGCTACGCAGCTACACCGCAACTCACACTCGACATCAACCATCTTCGTCTGGAGGAATGGGGCCCCAGCCTGAGAAAGCGGGGAGGCAAGCGTGGCCTGGTGTCCTCTTCCACTGACTCCAAAAGGGCCAAGAAAACCACCTGCACCTCACTACATCTCACTACCTCGTTGCATGGCATTTAGGCCATGCCAGGGTTCAAACGGTCCCTGAAGCCCTACGGAGCGAGACCTGCAGCACGTCCCTGGGAGAAGTCGCTGAAACGCACCGCCAGCATCGTTCCCGGGAGCGGTTCCTGATCGATGCATCTCATGGACGGGTCCGAGCACTTGGGACGGCTGGTGTGGTGTGTGGCTCAGCTGGTGGTTTGGCTCACCGTGGGATGTTTTCGTTCAACAGTCATTTCATGAGACATGCTTCAAAATAGGCCAAGGGATTAGCTGATTCAGGAGTCTAACTCCAATGACAGTGCTGTTCCAAATCGGCCTCCAAAAGTTGGTCAGCAATTACATGCAAGACTTGCAGCAAACACCTCTCAACAATATTTGTATTATTTTGTCATCAGTCATGTTTGTCTCATTTTGTTTTCCTTGTTCTTCTGGGGTAGTTGGGGTGCTTCATAGCAGCTCCTGGGTGTGCTTGTTGAGGGCCCTGCTAAGAATGGCACAGCCCGACCCCGCCAGGTCTCCCTGCCGCACCGGCACACGACGAGTGATCACTCTTTTAGCTGCGGCGTTCAATCCGGCAACAGCATCCAATCGCATGTGGCTGACTCGCCAAGCCGGGCAGCTGCACATGGGAGTGGGCCCGTCCACCCTGCTCAACCTCAAAAATGGGTTCAGCACCTCCAAAACCTTAATGGCCTTAACTTAACACACACACACACACATATATATATATAATGGTAGACTACTTGGCTACTACTTCTTAGATTGTATATAACCCATCTATATTTCATACAATTATGTGGTTTGGGATGGTTTGGGCATCCAGTCGGCCACATTCACATCTCAGCTCCGGCTTAGTATCACCGAGACGCTTGTACCGGCCGCCGGCCGCGTCCGACACATTGCCAAACAAAGGTCCGACACGAGACCTCATGGGGAGACTTCATGAGACTTCCAACCCTTGCGAACAAGGTCTTTTCCGCATGCGATGCTGATTTCCTGCTGGCCATAAGTCAGTCTTTCAATTGAATCACACTTGCAAGTTGATTGACATTATCTTTTCGTTGCTGCCAGCCCCGGCCGTTTGCAGAAGCTCATGTCCACACGAGAAATGTCCATCGGTTGACTCTGGACTCCCATGATTTTCAGGGGACCAGCTGGATAACAGGATGCTGGCATCAACATGATTCAACATGCCACTTGGGAATCTTTGGACCAATGGATTTTATATGTGTTTTTATATGATGGATTGATATATACATAACTATAAATAGTTATATATATATATATATTAATATTGTGTATTATTGTGTGAATGAACACTGTTGTGTGGTTGAAAGGTTCGAGGATATGCACCCAGCATGCTGATGGTCTTCCCAATCTGGCCGGAAACTTGGCAGAATGTCCGGCCAAAGAGGCAATGGCCCAGTGCCCAGTTGGGGCTTTGAAACCTTTCTAATTTGTTCTGCACCTTGCTCATCTGCAAATCTCCCCTCAGTCGCTGCTCTCTCCAACCAGCTTGTACACCATTTCACAGCAGGTGCCAGGGCCAGCTCCTCTCTGCTCCACTTCACCTCTTCTTCCAGGGCATGTCCTCTGGCACCCACCGTGCCAAGTTCTCCAGTCCTTCTTGCGCCACCTTGCGCCCGGCCACCGCGCACGCGCAGCGCAGCATCTGCGGCACGCTGGCGCCCAGCGCCAAGGCGGCGAGGCTGGCGGCGTTGAAGGTGTCGCCAGCGCCCAGAGAGTCGACAGGCTGGACCCTCTCGGCCGCTTGGAAGAAGTCTTGACCACTGCGAGGATCGAACCTGCAAGCAAAGGGGAGCTTTGCGGTGGAGGTTGGGTTAGGTTGGGTGGGATTGAAGGCTTGAAGATGGATCATGATTTAATTTCAGCGAACGGGCGAACGAGTTCGATGACATGAAATGACTTGGGGATGAGTTCAATAGCAGTCGAAGCTTCGTCCAATGCCACCGTTGGCACACATCCGGTGAACCACAGTGAACTTGCTTACTTGCGGGTGGGTCATCCAGAAAGCGGAGTGATTCTCATGGCAAGAACATGTTTGCATTAAAAGGGTCAGCTTGACCACATGTGCCCAGAAACCACATGTTAGGATCCCAAAACAGCCTGGCCAGGAGGGTCCTGGTTTATACGGAGGTCCTCTTCCAGTTGGGGAACTCCTCCAGTCTCCGACTGGGAGATACAAAGACACGACCGATGTCCAAATCCATCCAACGCATCTAATTATATAGTCGGGGAAATCGCTGTTCTATCTAGCTAATCCAGCTTGAGATGTTCAGAATTCCACCCTAACAAAAATAAACAAAACCGTCCTCTGGCCACCTCGTGCTCCAAGCCACGCGAAGGCGCCCAAGGCACCCCAGGCGCAAATCAGCAAAGCTTGCGTGGGATTTCCCTCTTGAGAGGCCAAAGCTCGCAAACATCGAGGTGCCACATGGCTCCTTGGAAGGGCGAAGCGGGGGATAGGCAGCAAGCAAAGAATCCCCGTGCATTTGCTTGCACGACCCTCCTACCGTATCCAATGTGATCGCCTATTGTTGCCTGTATTGCCGTAGATGCTGGGGACACTCGCGTCCCCGCCCAGAATTTCAGAGGATAATGTGGATAGAAGGACTTCAATGACTCATCCTGGCTCAATATGGCAAGCTCTTATATGCTCCTGTTCCGGGGGTGGTGCGAAAATCAGGAACCAGTCTTCATTGGAATGGCCAGCCCCAAAGTGATTACTATGAAATGTATTGAAATGTTACACAGTTCCATGTGGGTGAAGCATCTGCCTCACAAAATTGGACCGCAGTTTCAGGGTCCTGCAAAAATAAACACCTCGTGGCCGAATTTGTTTTCCTTATCTTTACTTTTGGCTTTTTCGGATGGCTGGCTCGTTGGCCCGAACCACCTTCTTTGGGGGCCTGGTAGCGGATTCTTACTCTTTGTGAGCCGCAGAATGCCCATCCTCAGCTGTGAACTTGGCCTCTTAAAGGATCCAAGGACGCCCCCGTCGTGCGCCCGTCGTTTCGCGTGGCGTCCCAGGCTCTGCACTGGACCACCTGCTGCTTCCTCTTGGACCTCCAAGTCTCCTTGAAAAGCAGCAGGGTCAGGACGTGCACGTCTTGAGGGCGTGCTGGCTGGAGGGTCCTTCCTTTTCTCGCGAACACTGCCAAGCATCTCGGAAAAACACACCCGGGTCACGCCCATCACTCACTGAACAGGTGCAACCCTTAGCGGCCCCAGCCATCCTTTACTATAGAATGACATACTAATACTATATAATTAATTACCGTGCGTTAAACTTGTCATGCAACATATAGTTGCAGTTGCTCACACCCTCTCTCTCGCTCTCTCTCTCTCTCGCAAGCATGACTCCTCACTGAGCCGTTTTAGAGAGAGTCCCAACTTCAATGGTCCCTTCCGGGCTGGACACTACGGGTCCCTCTATATTTATATGTAGAGCGTTGACCAATGAAGCCTCCCCATTTGGATTGTGAGAGTTCTCCACATGGGTTGCTTTATTCATCAACAGTCCGTCTACTATATGATTCTCTCTGCATCAGCACGGGTCTGTCCCAAGTACCGCAAATCCATGCATTGTTTGGATGAGACCTGTGCTGCAGGGTAGGTGCCCTGCCATGAGGAAAACACACAAAAAGATATGACGGTGTGACGTGTTTTTCTCAACTGTCCGCCTGCACGTGCCTTGATGAAGTCACTGGAAAAGAAAACAACATCACAGAGCTGCAACATCGGAAGCACCGCCTTCAACTCCTTGTGTGCGGCCAACTTGTCGCACAAGCATGTGAGAGCACTGTTGCAAAACCCAACACTTGCAAACAAACTATTATTTTTATATAATGAAGCTCTTTTTGTGGGTTCTCAGGCGCCAGCCACATCATCCGCAACAACACACAAGAAAAAAACACGTGTAAAACAAACACTTTGCAAAGCGCTTTTGGTAAATCAAAACCATGCCATTTCTAGCCGAGTCTCCAATCCCGGCTTCTCAATTTCCAACGACACCCACGGCCTGGTCGTCGGTGTGCGGCGTCGTAACATCTCCAACATTTGCGCGACGCCCGGTTGGCGACACTCGAAGTGGCACCAAGCAACGTCCGACGTGGCGGCCAAGACGTGTTCCAAGTGCTCTGGGTCCATCTCCTGGGCACGACCAATGTGTTCGGTGTGGTTTTGTGTGGCCGGGTTCAGGTGGTAGGGCGCTCGAAATACTGGAAAGCCGCTGAAAGTCACCAGAACTCATTGTTTTTGCAAAGCTGCTTGAGCAAATGGTTTTGGCTTGCTTAGGTTCCACAGTGCAATGACTGCATCAGTTGTTGAGTTTCCATAAGCATCTAAGAACCAAATCATCAGTGTGAGAGCTTAAAGGCGGCAGGGGGAGTTTCCTTGAAGAAACGTGAACTATCCTGCGTCCGTACTAGTATCTACTTAAGCTACTATGGCTACCAGCTACCTCTCCCTACTAGATACCTACCTAGCTAATCTCAACTCTACTAGCGGCCTACCCCCCTTAAAAAAAACACAGACATATATAAACAGGTGTTTCTAGGAAGGGTTCCATGATGTTCCCTGAACATATCTGATTACACGCCACGGCTCCTTCAGGCCGCAACGGGAGGAGACAATGGTTCGGGCACCAGTGTCCGTGCTGAGAAGGACAAAACTCGTGGGCACTCCTGAGGCATCCTTCACTTCTTGCATCAATGAGGTGTCGATACCAAAGCGCTCCAAGCTCGAAAGTGCAAAATTTGCCTTACATTTACATTTTAACACCTCCACTGCCCCCACACTAATTTGCAAACGAAGCACGACTTGTTAAAATAAACTTGGGACTGGATTGCTCCTTCCGAGGCATCAACTACAAAGGGTGCTCATGGATCCTTGCCAAATTGCGTCTGGGTTGCCCCGGTCCGGGATGACCCCTAAACTACTCACAGAAAGTGGAGTGTCCGCCAGAAGTTGTGCCAAGACCCTGCAGCTGTTGGCGCAATTTCCGCCCGTCTTTTTCGTGTAGCTTTGCGCTCGCGTAGCGGAATCTTCTTCGGGAAAACTTTGCACTTGCATGGCGCAATCAAGGCAAATGTTGCCATACAGCAGGAATCGGCCCACCGATGGCCGTGACACAGGAAAGAGGCCAGAGCACGCCGGCGCGACTGGAACCAAAAGCGGCTGGTCACTTGCTGGGTATGTCATGGCAGGAGGCTCGGCCAGGTAATGACAAGGTTGTGCATTGAAACCGTCAACTTTATGTCCCTCAAAGTAACCAAAAATGTGCACTGTCCGGATGAAACCTACATTTGCATCAAAATAATTTTGTTATAGCACACACCAACCATGGAAAGGGAAGTGTTGAGACTTTGCACTTACAAACGGGCCAGAAAGGGGCCGCCATTCAAAAGGTGAATGTGTTTGATGTTGTATTAATGTTTGGATATGTCTGGTGATGTTTAGTTTGTTATGCCTGTGGGTTTTTTTTGCCTTAATCTTGTTGCATTGGTGGCATACTCCACAACTGAAGCACCCTCTTGCTGAATACAATGGGCCTGATGAACTTGATGCCCTGTGTTGCTGTTCCGTATTGTTGGTTTCAACTGGTTTCTATAAATGGCTCTGCGGCAACTGCTGAAGCTGTTGGGTCGACCGTGCAGGGATCGAAGGTTGTATGATGCCCTTGGGGTGGGTTGATTAGACATGTGCGAGTGAAACCAAAATGCCACTTTCATGAACCACACCGGATGACGCCCAACACACTACAGTGCTCTCAACGCAGTTGGTGCCAACCACAAATTGTCTTTTTGATGGGGTCCATGTAAACCATCTTTTGGGGTCAGCGCCATCTTCTTCTTGAAACCATTATAAGAACATGCGTTTTGAACCTCGTTGCTTAGGTTCATGATGATTCAAAGCACGAAATCCCGCCCGCCTCGTGCATCGATTTGTCGGGATCAAACACCATTTCCTGGCCAAACGCACGCTGTTTCATATGCCGCCCAGGGCTCAATGCTGGACATGTCTCAATCCCCATGGGGCCTGTGCTGGAAAATTTGATACAATAAAATCCCATGTCGTAAGAGGAAACTCACGCAACACATAGGTCTTTTCCTACGCGTTCCACAGGTATACGCGGCATGCGGCGGGAAAGGGGTGCTTAAGCCACCCTTACGCGGCGACTTCGCAATTTTTTGCGAATCCGCTGGGAACATGTTTCTGCAGAAAAACGTTTTCCTTCCTGCGAATGGCACAACGACATCACAAATGGAATTTGGCCACACGGTGTGCTACAAACATCCACAGGCTAGACACAACAATGTGTCATGCAACACCAAACCTCGTGGACACCGCCAAATTTTTTCATCTATGGACCCCTTTGGTGCTGGCATATGAGCAGAGCGGATTTTTATTGCAGTGCATATTTTCGGGCCACTGCAGTTGGCAGAAAACCTTGGGTTTGGGAACCATATGGGTTACCATGGGTTACCATTCACGGACGGGCATGAGGTTTACGCGTTGCCTGCGTGGAGCTTATGCGCGCCTTGTAAAATCTCGTGTCTTAGTGGCTCTGTCTTCGCCCAACACAAGCCAAGACCAAGTACCAGTAAACACAACAAACCTCCTCAACCAAAGCGGTCTCCACATCATTTGGCCACTGCAAAGCAACAAACACAAAAGAATATGCGGCACAAAAAATTACGCAACCTTGCGCACTGCAGTGTTTTCCTTTTTGCATCCAACCCTTTTTTTACCCGAACTGCACGCATTACCAGCACGGGGGTTTATGGCATCGCTCATGAAAACATGTGGGCCCCACAAGAATGAACAAACAAATCCAGAGCAACAACAAACACACAATACCCAAATTGATCCAAATTTACTGCTTTTCACATTTCAAGCAACATAAAACAAAAAAACACCCTGCACGTATCTGCGCATCAAAATGTATCAAACGCCGCGAGCATCTCAATAACGAACCTCCAAAGCCGCTGCAAACCCTGCCAGGGGGGAAACTGCATGAAAAAATTGAGCATATATACGCTAAATCCTGGACGCTGGCTGATCTTGATGTTTTTCAGGAGTTGCATGTCATTCAACTGTTGGATGATTCGGAGTTTTTGCCTATTCCAAACAAAAAAACTATAGTCAATATTATGACTGTCGTTTGCATTTGTTTTTCGCCAATGGTTGCCTGCCATTGCTCCCTCTTCGCCCTTGCCCTGCGAAGGCAAGGCGGCTCCGCCACATGTGAAGGACGCGCCACCGAAAACAAGAACAATCCGTGTCTGATGTGCCTGCCAAAGTCCTAATATCACCACCACATCAACAAAACATTCAATCATGACATTCGATATCTCATGATAAATGTCCCGCCTCCATGGAAACCATTTTCTTCACATCAGCCAACGCTTCCTTCATACCAGCGGCGCAAAAAGAAACGTGTTTAAAACGTAATATCCTAGTGGAGTCAGATTAATATCAGCGTCACCGAAAAACAGAATAAGAAAACGACCTTCGGATTTCAACATCTTCGCCATCTTTGAACCTCTGCGAGCTATTGCTTAAATGATCTTGAGTGTCAGGTTCGGCAACATGAATCCACTGGATCGCCCATCTGAGCTAATGACGTCGAAGTTGGACTCGTCCATAAAGTTGCCCGCAAAGGCCACAGTGTCGGTCAGGTTCACCACCAAGTGCGGAGCACCACCAGGCACAAACAATGTCTGACGCAACCGTGTTTGAAACACCGACGCCCGCTAATTGTTGGAAGTGTTCGGATCATCGCAGAGCGCTAACGTATGCTGTGGTATGCTAAAGTAAGGGCACGCACTTGCCAGGCATGCCCCGGACCATGCGTTCGCTGTCATACACTCCATTTCCTGATGTATGCAATACCGTGTTTGTCTATGACTGAGTGCAAAGAAACCCCGCACGGTGTGCGTATATAAGGCCCACAGGTGTAGCAGCAGAAAGTCTAGAGTTTTAGGCGCACTGGGGTTGCCAAAGGGGCGGTGGAGGTGGTGGTGGTGGTGGTGATGGCGGTGAAAGTGGTGATGCGTGGCTGAATGTGAGACTGAGTAAGCGTGTGAGTGAATTCTACTTTTTCAATTCACAAAACATGAGCAGGCTGTCAATTTCATTTTCCTTGCATTTGAATAAATCATCCTAGACCCCTTCCCCTGGGCGTTTGTATCTTTATTGTGTCTTCATTTGGTTTTTTCCATTTGTCCAAACAGTGTGTTAGACCTAGAGTTTGCAGGTCTGAGGTGGCATTCCTGAAGCTTAGCGTAGGTAGACCAACGTTCTTGCAAAAAAACATCCTAGACCCCATTCCTTTGGGTGTGTCGTTTTTTTTTCCCGACTCTTGTTCCACTGAGTCCAAACAGTGTGCCAGACAAAATTTACAAGTCTGTGGCTGGTGGCATTCCTGAAGCTTAGCGTAGGTTGACAAACGGTAACGCCTTGAAAAAACATCCTAGACCTCTTCTTTTGGGTGTGCCGTATTGTTTCCGTAGCTCTTCTCTCCCAAGCGCCCACACAGTGTGCTAGACCTAGGTTCTACAGGTTTGAGGTGGCATGTCACCAAAACAGGACGCACGAGAACTCAGCACCCTCCTTGAGCAGCCACCCCATTTTGGACTTCTCGCACAACCGGTGTCCGCCGGTACACAAATGGTCTTGCACACCCGGGGGCCGACGGTATAGAAATGGTTTTCCACCGGGTTCGCTGCGGAAAAAGGCGTGAAGTCAACTAGTTTTCGAACTTCTAGTTGGCGTGGTGGGACTGGTCAAACCATCAAGTTTGACCTGTTACGGGATGTTCTTTGTTTGAGAAGGTCCGACATGAAATTCCCTAAGCCAGAATGGCTTATATAAACATTATATTACGATTATTAAACAATATACTTTAAGGTGGGTCTCAGACTATCATGTATAAAGGGTCTTACATGATCCCTGGACAGGGTCTACAATGATTGCGGACACCATGTCAGACCCTTTGCTCATGATTTCAGGCCCTAGTCGTTGAGGGTATTTCTAGGGCTCAGGTTTTGGTTGAGTGAAACTGTGTGCATCTAATTTTTCAGATTCTTACAAAATTCAAGTTTTGTGCCCAAATGGACTTTATTTTCTGCATTCCGCGTTTCTGCTTTTAACATAATTTTTCACCGCCACTGGTTACGTCTCTGGAGTGCCAGGCTGAACCTAGCTTTGGTTTCACTTGGTTCAAGCCCTCTGTTCAGGACAGCTGCAAAAACATGTGATTTCGATCTTTCGTGTTATGCATCTCTGTTCAATTGTTGTTATGAAGCAAAACCCACTCAAATTTTCCCAACCATAGATTTTCACACTCAACTACACCGGCTCTACTAATCACCAGTAAAAGGTCTACTACGACACTGGGCCCATTCTAGGCCTTCCTGCCTTAGACCCTCCAAGGTCACCCATGCCAGACCCTGTAGTACAACTCGGCCCCCGTCGGTGGCAAAAGTGCTTCATGCGCCACGAATTTTGCACTTCAAGGAAGAAGTAAGGTCCACAAAGCTGCCAATCTGCACTTCAAGGTCCGCAAAGTACTGCACCTGCCACGAAATGTGCACCTCAAACGCAAAAAACGCCTGCCACGATTTCGGAAAACGAACCACATGTGAGCGGTGTCACAATCCATCCGGATTATTTTTTGTTAAGATTACAACAACTTCTGTTTTCGCCGAACCACTTCACTCTTTTGCTAACCCCTTTGCCAAGATCCTGCTATTTACATCCAGGAAACGTATCAGCAAAGGGGAAGCAAAGCATTTGAACATCTGCAACCACTGCTTTCGCTACATCTTCGGTCTTCGCGAGCCTTTCGCCAACCTCTCGCCTGGTTACCAGGAATCTTTGGAAAACATGCTTTGCACCATCCGAAATTCAAAACCTTTCTCCAGGCCTTTCGCAAAATTTCCCCAAATGCAATTTTCTTGTCACAAAGAATAAAACATTTCCATAAAAAGTTATGACGTTGCTCACGTGGAAAGGTCGCCATTCACAGCACTTGTCAGAACTTTAAAGTGTGCCAACGACCGCCACCACAACCAAAATGCCGCACCAGCAATGAAATTTCAAAAGAAAACCGTTCCGATCGATCCCTTGCGCCTGTCACGACAAGTCGGCTTCGGACCAGCAAAACACAAGGTATCCCTCGTGCCTATGAAAAGTGACCACCATGTCCGAAAATAGGCACGGAACTACTACGAGAGCGCAGTCGCGACAAGCACCCACTGCAGCCAACCAGGGCCTGCGAGCCGGCGCAACCGAATTGCACTTCGAGGATATCGAAAGGCATGCATGCATTGCCAATAGAAACGCATTAGCCGGACACGCCCGCACGATATCTCCGACCCCTATAGTGTAACCACACTGTTTGGGGAAAAATTGCAATTGTTCTCACTTGTCCTCACACACGCATAGGGCGAACACCGGCCTCGCCCTCTTCCAAGATCACGTCAATCCGTCGTGCTTGGTGGAAACCATCCGCCCCATTTTTGCCGGCCTCAGTTGCTAGCAAGCCACCGGTGGCTTGCCGCCCCCCCCCAAAAAAAGAACATGCTCGGCGTACACTGCGGCAACACAATCTTGCGGCCTTGTCCTTACCATTTCTTACCATTTTCGGCAACACGCTCTGCCCGCAAACAGGTCAAAATCAAATCCAACGGCTTGTCGGCTTCTGGCCGGGCCATATCAATTTATATAGATCTACGCAGCGCAGGGGCTGCAAGCTCATCTCAGGTCAGGGCCAAGAAACAAGATCCAAGATTCGCACGCACAGAATCCCCAAGGAACCACCACCCAAAAGCGGTCGTATTTGCTCACGGCACATCACAACGAGTGCTCCGATCGAACCTGCGATGTCTATGTTTTTGCGCCTGCAACACAGCCCACATTGACGCTCAGCTGCCACACATGACCTTATGGAGCCGGAGAAACTAAACCTCCTACAAAGGCTTGGCCAGATCACAGGAAACTACAAGAGCCATTTGCAATTGCGGACCCGCCAATACACAACAAAAGGCCGGCGCTGCAAGAAACATCAAGAAACAGAACACGCCGCAACAGGAGGACTCACATGATATGGGCCAACACGAAATCGCGGAAGCATTCCCAGGGGATGAACAGCATCGAACTGCAAAGGCAAAAAAATAGGTGGCGCCCCTTTTAAGGGGCCGTTGCGTGGAGGGAAAGGTTTGGATGGGTTTTTGATCGAAGCTGTTCCAAAACCGAAGCGGCACACACACACACACACACATTATTGACAATGGTAGCTTTGCTTGTTTTCCCCAGTCAAGATCCGCCCGAGTTTTAGATACATTGCGTTTTCGTCAAAGTGTGCCGCCTTTTTAGATCTGATAATTTGCTGTCCTCTTGTCCACCTCGAGTTCGAACGGTCACGCGGCGGGCTATGTACAAGGCCCCCGCTTGACTGGGGGAGCCACCGCGCGTCCCACCTGAGGTCCGCGAGGACGGCTGGAGCGGGTGGCGGGCCTCCTCTTTTTTGCGTGAAATTGATGCTGTGCAATCTGAAGGCCAAATGGCAGCATTCACCAACGCTGCCATATTAATCAACGCGCCAGCGTGTTGAGGAATCTTGTGGGGCCCTTTCGTAAAGCATCAAAAATCAGTGGCTCACAAACGACGAGGCCTGACAAGGCCACGATGATGGCCTCAGTTGACCCACAAATCACAAATATATAGTACAAACCATAGGAAGCCCACCAGGCCGGCCTGCGCAATTGCTCACGACAAAAGCGAGTGTCATTGCCCCCACCCCACCCACACACGACACATAATCATAACATATGATTATCATTGATTATCATAACACATGCAGTGGCGCAGCACGTCAGCCGAGTGTCATTACCCCGACACCCGGCCCCACCCCACCCACTCCAATGCGTCACATAGCACATTGATGCAGTGGCGTAGTGGCGTAGCTCGAAAACTGCTAAAACGAACGAAAATGCACGGCAACCGAACAGGGGTCCCACTAGAACTGAGAACCAACACGGTAGTCACTGTAAGGACAATGAAAGAAATCAACGAATGCAAAGAGTCACAAATGGCATCCCAGCAACAAGCCGGCAACAACCCAATCAATGAGAACAGCCCAAGACGTCTTGCCGCCGTTTGCTTGAGTTGAATTTGATGAGCAAGGATCGCCCACAGAACAGCAGCCACGTCATTAAGAACTTGAGGTCAGGCGGCTGAACGAAAGCCAGCGACTGCTGGGCGCAATTTGGCGTCCCAATGCGGGGGGGCCAGCAGGGTTCGTAGGAATGATGGGGTCCATGGCTGATAGGAGCCACGCACATGTAGGAGCCAACCAGGGCTGGTAGGACGGATGCGTGCTGATAGAAACCAGCACAAGGCACCCATGGTTGATGGCTCAAGTTGATGGGATGATGGGATGAATCTTGCTTGGAACCATGGGGGCTGATAGGAAACATGTGGATTGAAAGGCTGACAGACCGCAGCTGGAAGAAAGGCATGCAAAAAAGACCAAAAAAAAACATGTGAAACACATGTGGGGCACCTCCTGCATCTATAGCTGGCATGCTTATTTGTTCCCTCCCATCCTTGCCAGCATTCTATCTGTGGCAATCTTATCCGGCAAACTGGTCATATCGTCTGGCATTCCAACTGGCATATGTTTAACGTTCCTGTCTGGCAAGGTTTATGCCGCGTCAGCCGGAGGGAAGTCACTTTAACCCATGGCAAAGCGATCTGGTGCACCTGTTTTGCATTTTTGGGGGGCACGCACAAAACACCGATCAACAATGATCAACAAATTGTCTCATGTTTGATGGGCACACACAGAAAAATCTCAGTGGCACAGCACATGGCAAGGGTTTATTCTTCGTTTCAGACTCGGAGCGAAGCGCTGTGTGAAACGTTGATCATCCTCATTCTGTGATTTTTAAGTGCCCCATTTTGATCACTTTCATTTGTGATCTTTAGCTCGCTCTTGGTCAAGTCCCCTGCCACCTCTTCCAAAAAAACGGCTGGGCGATCGGCCCTGACGCAATACGTTGCATCAACACGCATTGATTTGCTTTGAGCGCTCTCTTTGGTCGAGCTCTGCTTGGGCGTTTCGCTCTGGAGGGCGCTTGCTTTCTCTGGCCGGCTTTCAGCAGGGAGTGCTGGGTTTGGTTTCCGTGAGTTCGATATGCAGGCGGCTATATTTACACTATGGCATGTCCTTTTAGGGCTGGTACATGCAGTCCAGGCTTCCACCCTGCCACTCCTTCCCACACTTCACAAAAGTTTCACACCGGCCAAAAACCAAAGCTGCAAAACGATCCGGAACACAGCGCGCCCGCGCGCGCGCGCCAAGAAAGTGTTGGACAACAAGGATCAACAACATCACAACGCAAGATCAAAACTGTAAAGCGCATTCCGGACACTGTGCGCATGCAAACATGATATGACTTCCTTTCAACTGACTCGACTTAAACCCTACCGCTAGTTGCTGGCATATGTTCTGCTTTTTTGACCGCCGGCATAACTTGTCATTTTTGTCTGGCTTTCTCGATGGTGCGCAGGTCCGTGCGTGCCCAAATAGTTTTTTTTAATGATGTTTTTTCTACCAACCAACTACCAAACCTGCCCAGAATGGACAATGGGATTCGCTCGGCATCTCTCCCGGCTCTCCCTTTGCAACATGTTCATTTCTTCTCATTTGCATTCATTTGCTAATTACTGGCTTTCATGGCTCTGATCTCACTTCAAGAGTGTTGGAATCAGGTTTGGGTTCACTTTTGGTCCCTGCTACCTTCTAATGGCCAACCAGGAAGTCTAAGTGGTCTACATCACTGACATCACATTTCTGATGGCATCGCGTTCTTTCTTTCACACGGTCTTGACGCCAAGGGACTTGATTTGGGCCTGAAACTGCGGAACGCGAACCCTTCTGCTCATTGGGGTGGCTGGCCAGATTGTTTCAGTGACACAGAAGGGTGTCGCACAGACCTTCTGATGGCGACCGATGCCGTGGCAAAAAGGCCAGCGCGCATGGCAAATGACAGGGTTGGGTGCAACTTGCACAAGCCAGTTGGGTTACTGGTGGTGGGTTTAGGACTCAAACTGCTTGGCGTTCGCGGCGTTCGCGGTCTTGGCAGACTCGGGACTTCGCTGTGTGGGCGTTCGGCACCGGCGGAGTTCGCTGGGATCGGCGCGGCAGGCGGCATGAGCTCTCCGAGAAGCCGCGGCCACTTCAATGGCTTGAAATCCTAAAGAACGCTTATACCAAGAATGTGCTTTCGGCGCTTTCGAACGGCCGAGACGCTTGACGACTGAGCGAGCGCGTGGCGCTGAGCTGGGTTGCTTGCCACCAACAGCAAAAGGGGATGACAGGGGCTGGTCTCCCACATCAAGTTGGCGCTGACATGTGCTGCAAGGGTTTGGCCACATTGCTGCAAACACTCCATGGGACGGACTGGCATCTTTGCCGACCCATTGGACGCGCGCCGCGTCATCGTTTGTTCAGCTCGCAGGACTGCGTAGAGACTAGAGTGCTTACATTCCTCACCGGCACCAGAATTTACAGCATTTGATAAGCAAAAATGATGATGGATGCAAGGACAAATAATAACAAAAGGAACAGCATCAGCACAATTGAACACATCAATGAAAGGGCCAACAGATTAGAAACAAGTGGAGAAATGTAGCGACGATTGAAGCAAGGTGACATTGAGAATTCAGAAGAAGTAGCGGTGTAGAATGAGCTCATAACAGGCAAACACGTAGTAGTGGAGAACTGAGGCAAACTAACGCAGAAAAGCAAACAAAGCCAAGCAAGAAAGTGAAGAACATCACACAGTATACATCAAAGCAACCAAGTTTGCTAACGACTTCCCAAAAGGACATGAACAAACATGCATGGGCAAATGTGCGAATTCATCCATATCATGCATCTCCAACCGCCGCAGCTTTCTTCACACGGCAACGCAACTGCACTCGGGGGGAAGCGACCTCCAGGCGCCCGGGGACAAATGCACAGGCGAAGGAGGCGGGTCCGCGGTCGAGTCGGACTGGGAGTTGACCCACCCGTTGACAACCAGTTCCATCAATGTCCTGCTTGTACGAGTAGTTCTTTTGTTGAAATTGCCTTGGATGTTGTACTCCTCCCCATTCGATCACGCTTGAGCCTGTGTGATAGTTTTTGTAGCTCTCAAGGCTCTAAATTGTGGTGTAGCATCACCCAAAGCTTCTCTGTTCACGGTCAATTCCTGTCGTGTCTGCCGTGTTTGACAGGCGTGGAGCGGGAACCGTTCGACCAACGGCGAGCGCGGCCGGTCTGGCAGAGCACCGGTGCGCCGCGAGGGGGTCACCAAGACAAGTGCTTGGACAATTGCAGTTCCAGATGGCTTGTCACTGCGGCGGAAAACGGACAGCGATTCACTATTCACCTTCTCACTTTTCACACAGCTTTTCAGCCCAATTTGGGCAGTCTACCGCTGCCAAGTCACCTCTAGATCACTCAGGTCAGGAAATCGCGGGAAGACTTTGCCCGGCCTGGCACACGCGCGCTGTGAAAACTACAGATTCTTGGCCATGGATTAAAACAGGATACCCTTTGACTGGTAAAAGGACAATTCGGACACATAAATTAGAATGGGCGGACCGTATTGAGAAAAAACCAAGCAATCTGAATCTGAAACATCTTTTTGACTCTTGGACTGAGGAAAAAAGGTGAGAGAAAGAAACACAGGAATGAATCAAAGCAACAAAGCACATTGGGAATGAAAGGACAAATCAACAGGTTGAAAAGGGACCAGCGTCTGGTTCGTCCTGTCATGTCCGTTCCTTCAGCGAAATCTTCCCCCGTTGCATTTGCCTTGCAGTAAACATACATAGACATTTGCTACAGCGGTTTCAGAGATTCGACGGCACAAAGCCCGCCTGATGTCCTTTTGCCTGGGGGTCTGTTTCTCTACGTACCAAACTTGGGGGGCCCTTGTGCCATCTACGTCTGAAACCACTCACTCCAACTCTCAGCCCATTCTCTTCCCGCACCGAGATCGATTCTCGGTCGGGGCACCGGTCGGTGGTTCCCACCGATCAGTCCAGCTCATCCGAGAACAGAACCGGTGGAATGAACGCGGTTTTTTGTCCTCGGCTTCCTTAGCCTAACTCGCATACTGCTGTGGATCAATGAGAAGGTTGTTGTTCAACTCTTGAGTGCCTTTAATCAGAGATTCCAGTCCATCCTGTCCAACCACCCCAGTCCAAAACCAGTCGTATGCCGTCACAGGCCAGCGAGACAAAACCTCTGGACAGAGCAGGTGGGTGTCCTGACAGCAATTGTCTGCCCACATGTTGCAGTCGGGTGAATAGAAGAGAATAATGTAACAAACACAGAAAGAACATCATAAGAGAAACGGTGGGCAAAAACACCACCAGGGTTCAACCCAATAAGCTGAGTGTTTGCTTGTTCGCATGTACAGGGTCACTCTTCATAAGGACTGCGACCAATCCCTGTCCCTTTTGGTTCTCGTTTTGCGTGTTCCACGCAAACCACACAATGCGCCTTGTCTGCTCAGAAACCACTCTGTGCAGTGGTGAGGGCCCACCATTCTACGGCAACCGTATTGCATCAACATGCATCAACTCTCATCCGTAACATGTCGTAGTTACATCATGTCTATTCTGGTTCTACTCCTTGGCTTAGACTACCTCTGAGGACCATGGGGATCAGTGAGCAGCTCCTCTGGATGCCAAATGCTCCAACGCTTTCGGCCTCAATGACAGGCGGTTTGAATGGATGGTAGTCCTTGAGATTGGATTTGAACCAGAAATATAAACCATTACTATCATTTACTATCCATAACTCCTGACAGATCCAAACTGGGATGCTACGAGACCATTTGTCAGGATTATCCGTTCGGACCGCGTGACGCATGCTCTTTGAGGATTCACAGAACATGTATGAACATGTACTTATCTGCAGATACCATACGGATGGTCATGATGGATGTCATCTGCTAATTGCTACTACTTTGCCCATCTCACAAAATGGTCATCTGCTACTGCCATTGCTGCATCCTGTTTTTGTGCCGCAAATGTCAGACTTAGTTAGCTTCCTCACTCGAGTATCCCCAGGACCCATTCTCCCACCAATAAAAACTGCAGAACCCGTTATGGCGGCCCGGATAACTTATTTTAGCTTGTGTTGTTCTTCGTAAACCATATTTCAAGTGGTGTTCTTGGGATTTGTTTTCTTTTTTTGGGGGCTGGGATGTCTTTTTGTTTGTTCATGTTACAAGTCTAAGCCGCTACTTGTACGTAGCATAGAGACCCTTCTGTTAACAGAAGACCCTTCTGTTTGACCGTTGTTGTTGCCACTAGTATTGTTGATACAAAATTAAATGATACAAAATGATATGAGTGGAACAATATAGGCTGTGTATGAGTATACAGTTCAACAAATATACTTTTTGGATTGGAGCTTGCTTCCATCCAAGGTATCGCTGGTTCCCAAGCGACCACCAAAAGAGACACACTCGACCCAAATTCTTTCTTGAGGTCAGGAGGGGGATCGCAGGGGATCGCTGTTCATTACAACCATCAATACGTCTGGATGGTCCATGGAACCTCGACGGCCATGGAACGACTCTCTGTCCGAAAACGATCTCGTCGCGCTTGCATTTAAAAAAGTAACCTTCGTTCGGAACTGCTGTATAAACACTCCCGGACCTTCGTATGCATCACATGGGCTCGTATGCATGGGTTGCCCCGGACCCTTCGTAAAGGAAAGTGGTCTTCCACCATGATCATGCCATCCACTTCATTCCGGTGAGCTATCGAGTGTAGAGGTCGTGCGACTTGGATCGGCGGCTATCGGCGACACTCCGGCTCACCCTCGTGTGCCACCCAATCCTTCCCAAAGGACAACTGAAGCTGATTCAAGCTGTAACTGGAGGTTCCACTTCTGATCCCTCGTAGAAGTCGCCTACCCGAACCGACCCCCCCCAGAGCCGATTTGTTTCGTCAGGCCCAAACGGACCGGCTTCGTTGGCCCGATCGACTGGACCCTTTCGGCGTGCGGCGGCCCGCACGGTTCTCGGAACGCCGCGGAAGGCGCCGGGACGGACGCAGAGACTTTTTGGACCGCGCCAAAAAGCCCAACGAGCGTTTGCTCAGCAGCCTCGGCAGAAGATGACGACCAAAGGGGCCGAGGGTTGGCGGAAAGAAACGGTACTGGGTGGGGAAAGTGTGTGAAAGCGTGGGCAGGATTGCAAGACTGTGATCATGATGAGTCGAGTTGAGTTTTCCACCTGTTACAGGTCCAAACTGTGCAAGTAACAGCCATATGATAATATGTATTTATCATTATTTATCATATTTGCACGATGGCAAAGCCAGCAATGAGGCCAGCAGTGCAGTGCACAGCAATGAGGCTGCACACGGCTGCATAATTCCTGTTCAATATGATCCAAACTCCAAACCTCAAACCTGTTCAGAGTCTTCGACGTAGGGAAGTAGTTAAGGATTCTTATTTACCCGTGCATGGCATTTGGACAAGCTTTGCAATACACACACGACCTGTTTCATATTTGAGTCCTGGTGGGGATGTACCTTTATGAAACCATGAAGTCAATCTGCACCAGTGCATCGATGGCAAATGACTGGGAAGGCTTTTCAAGAGGGGTCTATGTCTTCGGCACCGACTCCAAGAAATGGCCGGTTAGGGACCACCATAGTTTAGTTTCCTATTGTACTTCTGAACTAGACAGAATGGATGTTGGTTCACCCTTGAATCTTTAATCTCGAACTGATAAAACGGAATACTTTACTTCGGGTTTAGTGTAGGTCTATCCTATTCCTACTATCCCTCACAGTGGACGAACCTCAAACAATATGTTGATTAGGAAAAGCAAAAATTAATCCTCATCAGCCACGTTTATAAAAAGTCATCCCAAACCTATCAGGAATCTAGACTTCTGAAGACCTTTGCTAGATGGTTGCAGTCGCCGCTCATTCGCCCGGCGACTTCTCTGGAACAAGTGACATCAGTGGATAAAATCGAACAATGCGGCAACAGCGGGAAGACCAACAAGTACTTGATTTGCAGATAGCAGCGTCTGCAATGCAAACATGTTTTCTGGATAGTGATTGTTTGTCTATTTAGAAATACAAACATACAAATAACATAAAATAACAAGGCTGATAAAAGGCATTCCATGGCTTTGGCTTTCCAGAGGCTTTCCCCTGTTCTCTAAAGGATTCTGATGGTGTCTGAGTCTCATGCTGGCAAAACCCGTCGTTTGGAAACACTCTCAGGCCCAAGCTTTGAAGAATACTACTTCTTCAGCTTCTTGGTGCCTTGGTGCTCGTCGCGGTGTCAGGGACGCGGTACGCCGACAAAAAGCAGTCAGTCGCCACGTACAGCTGCGAGCTTTCTCTCCATGTCAACGACCTATGTCACGCGTCAGTAGTGATTCTCACACATGTAACCATTAATGTAAATCGGTATACCGTATACCACACACAACCACCAAATGCTCATGGTGAACCTGGCCATCATCGGGTTTGATGTCCTCTACACCTCGAGCTGTTCCGGGAACCGTCGATCCCTGGAGGTTCAGCTGTGCTCGGGTGGTGCCCCTAACCTGAGTGTCCACCCAAACAGCCCAATAGAGGGCTCACCGATGGGCCGTCCGAGAAGATGTGATGACCGAAGAATCTCAGATGTGGTAAGCCCAGATGTAACCTATACCTGGAATGGGTAAGCCTCCATATACATGTTGAGCTAACAAATGTACAGCCAAGTTGCCTTTCTTGCGCGGAGTTGAAGCAGCTTCTTCCTCCTAGGGCGCCGCTTGAAGAAAACTTCGGTTGGACGACCGAGGTCACCGTGCTTTCGGATTCGTTGGGTCGGTACCGAACGCAGCGAAGTTAGCATCTTCTAGCGTTGAGCAAAGGGGTTGCATTGCCAAGCTGAGGTGCGAATTTGTGCCATAAACATGTCTGTTGTCATATGTTGTCATACAGTGATTCAAGTCTTGTGGCGAAACGATCCAGCCATTGGTATAATATGGTCTAATTACAATACTTGGATTTGCTATGATTTGCTTGAGGAACATGGAAAGGAAACATACCCAGAATGAGATGCAGCCACTGGGAAAATAACACATCATCACTAACATCATCCTAAGCAAAACTAGAGCGTGAGGCCAAACATGGCAATCATCTCACCCAAAGCGTGCAGGCGTCCCAAATATATAATTACGCAATATCCTCCCCCAGCTCGAACAGCACTGGTTGCCGCAAAACAACCCAGCCCCCAGCCGGCCATCGGTTCAACAGAAATTCCTTGGACCCCGCAACCTATGAAGAGGCTCCAGCCAATCGCATTCGGACACTCTTGCTTTGCCCGATCAATTTGGAGTTTTGGACACTAAACATAATCACCAAACACGAGTCAAAACACCGTCTGATGTTGTTTTGTTTTAACAAAACATATAATATATAATCATAAATATATATCCTGGACCCTGAACAATTCAATAATTTCTGTACGCTTGGAACTTCTG